GATGCTGTTGGCGGGTCAAACCCCAGCTGCGCTTGCGACGCATCCCCGTTCCCCACCTGTCCGCCTTCCAGACAGGAGAGCGGGCAAGTCGCGAACGGAGGTGCGTGGCAAACAAAGCTGGCTTTTGTGGAGCAGCTCAGCTGCCGATGCTGGCAACGCAGGTGAATATGTTGGGTTTGCTCCTGGAGGGATGCGGAATCGGAAAGATTTAACTAGCTCTGGGGAAAGCCATAGGATGCTCTTCTTTGGGGAAACAAGGCCCACTCTAACTGCTGTAAGAAAGGTTACACATAATGGAAGGGACCTGTTTTCCCAAAGTGGAGCTTCCCATATATAACCGAAGAGCAGCAGGAAGAAAAACCTTTTTGCCCTAAGACCAGGCAGCTTTTTTGCCCTAAGACCTTTGGGAATCTGGTCAGGGAAAATCTTATTGTCACGGTCAGTTCTGTGCACTAGAAGGGAAAAAGATGGGCTCGTGTAACCAAAGAGTGTACCAGTGTCACGAGCATTTTACTCCATGATGTCACTATTGTTCGGCTGAAACTGTGCAGGGCAGCAGATAGCATCAACTAGTAGAGAAAGCCTCAAACAGTATCAACTAGCAGAGAAACCCTCAAGACACTAACCGCCTGTTCTGCGTGTTGTAGAGAATGGTTTGTCATCTCAGTTGAAATGTTAATTGCCAGCTTGTTTGATTTAATGTTCCCTTCTTTATATTGGTCTTCTGATTATTTTATCCATATTTTCAGTCTACATGGTGTGGAAATGGCTTGCTGAATCACTGCTGAGTGTTCTGGTGGGACTGGGAGCTGACCCTGAGGGTTGCTTGCTCCCCACTCATTCCTCTGGCCTGCAAGCCATCAGTGCCTGTGCTTCACACGAAGTGCTATCATGAGGTGGTGGCCGTGGAGTCAGCAGGTGGAAGAGGTGCTGCTGGTAGGGCTCTTAGGGATGGAGAACAGTCATAGTATTTGTATGGGGAGATGGAAGATAAGAAAGAGTAACCTGTGGGTGTTTGCCAAGAAGTCAGTGGTCTGATTGTTTTCTCCCAGCAGTTTGTGGTCTCAGCGATGACAGTGTGAGATACTCCTGTGCATCTTGAAATCCTATTGATTGGTCTGTGTGTTGCTGTCACAGGAAGTTCATGGTTTTGTTTTCTGTGAGTGGAGAAACACTCATTAATAAGATGACCTGTCATGAGCAAAGTTGGGGTGGAGGGGGAGGAGGAATTCACTCCTGTTATACCACGGTTCATCAGAACAGCACGGGGAGGCGCCAGGCTCTGCTGTTCTTTGTGGTCTCTCTGGTCTCTCCAGCTTAGTCTGGGAGGTCTGGATGGCATGTTTCAGAGGCTGATGTTGCACGCAGCAGCTGCCTCCAGGTGACAAATGCTCATTGCAATCAAGTTGTCCTGTGCTGCAAATTCCGCTGGCTCCTTTTCCCTTCCCAGTCCCAAAGGACGTTAGTCACAGCCTGGGTATGCTGTGGTACAGCACTTGGGTCTCCTGGAGATGGCTTTGGTTTTTTTCACAGCCTGGGGCAGCTACACACCTGCAGCTGGATAGTGTTTGCAGGACCTGGTGAAGCTGTTGTGCTTGTAGGAGAGTAAAAAGACAAGCTTGAACCGAGGGATTGCTGACTGATAGTGCTTTTGTGGAGGAAGGAAGTCACTGAAAACAAAAAACCATCTTACATACTGAGCAGGGACACCGTCTGGATGGCATGTTCTCAGGCGCAAAATGGTCATGGTTTTTTTGTGCATATTCAGATGGTGATGGTCTGATCTGTGCTTGAGATCAGGTATCTGTTGCAGTATTTGAGGTATTTAGCCACCTATGACACATAATTGATCCCAAGCACAGAGCCATTGGGAGCTACAAAGCACTAAAGCCACACCAGATGCTCAAAGGTCGGGTGTGGAAATGGAGACCTGCCCTCAAGTATACCTTCAGCATTTCCTGCATTTTTTTTTCTATGCATACACTGAAGTTCTCTGCCAGCATGACGTTGTCGGTCAAGGACACGTTGTCTCACTGGTTGTAAATTCCCCCTCCCCGGACTGGAGAAACTGCGCTTTCCCAGTGCTGCTTGTTTGACTTAGAGGCGGAGGAGCTCGTGGCAGGTGACGGAAGAGTGACGTGCACCACTGTGGGTGTGCGGGCAGCGCTGCGGCGGTGTGCCCACGTTCTCAACCGGCTGGTGCATGTGAATGTGTGAAGTGCCTGAGATTTGAGATCGCCGCGGTATCTCAAGATCAGTACTCGTTGTGGATATAGAAGGATGGGGCAAATCTCTTTGAAGAACGAGGAAGCTGTTGACTCCAGCATATGTGGGGGAGACAATGTGTCAGATCACTTTTGAAGGAGGTTGTTTTCCAGAAATTACATATATTTTTTCTTAAGAAGCAGAGCAAATGTTCTGTCCAGTGCACCCCATCCAGAGGTGACAGCATGGGCTATCTGTACTCCCTTGCAGATGGGTAAAATTCTCCTGGGGAGGGATCAGGACCTCTCGGGACCTGCCGCGTAAAGCTGTGGTGTGGGTTTGTACTCACAACTTAGCTGAAAAAGTTGTGAAACCCTTGGAGAGGGGAGCACTCTGTGCTGGGGCACCAAGACATAAGGGACAGAACAACTATATTTTACAGCTCCTGGAATTTCCTTTGCTTTTTCTTGGCAGTGGAGAGAGTGGTGCAGGGAAAACAGAGAGTACGAAGCTATTGTTGCAGCACATAATGAACCTATGCAAAGGCAACTCGCAGCTGGAGCAGCAGATCCTTCAGGTAGGTCATTACAGGATGGTGCCTGAAGATGCAGAAGCAACACTGCTGCAAGACAACTTGCGTTAGGCTGAGGAAGCCTGCTGATGAATCACCACCACAAGTCAGGGAGCAAAACATAAGACACATAAGAAAATAGCGGATTAGGATGGTGAAATAGCTGACCACAAATGAGAACGGTTGGTAAGTCAGTAATTCTGTTTGCTGGGAATGTAGTGGTATCTTAAATGACAGAAAACTATTGTGATCGTTTATCATGTTCTCTGTGACAGGGGATTAGGGGCATTTTTCTGAATAATTTCCTGTTTGAGGTAGAACAGGGACTTTTGTTAGAAAAATGAAGTCTTGATTTAGTGGTACACAGGGAGAATCTGCACAGCCTTCGGTCACCTTTACTTGGCTACTTATACTTACTGTCAGGCACATACCTGCTAACTGGCTATCTTAATCTTTGCTATTGTCGTATACCGTTGCTAGCTGATTTTGAAACACATTTGTCTCTTTGGTCTGAAGTATTTCCACTTGAATTGCTCCCCAAGGAGTTGTGGGATTTTTGGAGCAAATCATACTTTAACCTGCCATGTGATAGATTAAGCAGAATGAGTTCTTGGACTACTTCATTTTGAAGTTTTCATGTTTCCTGTAGAATCAGAGAGATCTTTCGGTGTGTGGAGGGTTAACTTTGGCTGGACACCAGGTGCCCACCAAGCTGCTCTAGAGCTCCCCCTCGTCAACTGGACTGGGGGAGAAAAATAGGACAGAAGGCTCGTGGGTCGAGATAAGGACAGGGAGAGACCACTCACGAGGCGAAACAGACTCGACTTGGGGAAAATTAATTTAATTTATTACCAATTAACAACAGAGTAGGGTAACAAGAAATAAGAACAAATCTTAAAACACCTTCCCCCCACCCATCCCTTCTTCCCAGGCTCAACTTCACCCCCAATTTCTCTGCCTCCTCCCCCCGAGCAGCACAGGGGGACGGGAATGGGGGTTGGGGTCAGTTCACCCCACGCTGTCTCTGCTGCTCCTTCCTCCTCAGGGGAGGACTCCTCACACTCTGCCCCTGCTCCAGCGCGGGGTCCCTCCCACGGCAGACAGTCCTCCACGAACTGCTCCAGCGTGAGCCCTTCCCAGGGCTGCAGTTCCTCACCAACTGCTCCAGCGGGGTCCCTTCCACGGGGCGCAGTCCTTCTGGAGCAGACTGC